CAAATCCAGCCCTCACAGGGGCTCTGAAGCTTCCTTAGCTTTACCATAAAAATAAAAAAATAAAATAAAAATAAAACATTTCAACAACACTCCTTTCTAATACATAGTTCATAATGTATCTTTTTTTTTTTCCTAATAGGTGTGTAGTGTAGTGGTGTATCATTGTTTTTATTCTATTGTTGACACTATTATAGATGTCTCCCATTTCCCCCCTTTATCCTCCTCCACCCAGACCCCCACCTCTGGCTATCACCACACTTTTATCTATGTCCATCCCCCTCCCCTCTGACCTCTGTCAGTCCCTCCCATCCTATATAATAAAAGGCTAATATGCACATCGACCAAACAGTGGAACAACCAGTCACTATGATGCACACTGATCACCAGGGGGCAGACTCTCAATACAGGAGCTGCCCCCTGGTAGTCAGTGCGCTCCCACAGGGGAAGTGCTGCTCAGCCAGAAGCCCTGAGCTGGGCTCAAAGCTGGCAAGTGCAGCAGCAGTGGCGGGAGCCTCTCCTGCCTCTGTAGCAGAGCTAAGGATGTCTGACTGCTGGCTTAGGGTCGCATCCCCCGAGGGCTCCCAGACTGCGAGAGGGCACAGGCCGGGCTGATGGACCCCAGCCATGTGCATGTTGGGGGCGACCAGGCCAGCAGGGGAGGGCCGTTAGGGGCGACCAGGCAGGCAGGCAGGCAGAGGCGGTTAGGGGCAATCAGGCAGGCAGGGGAGCAGTTAGGGGCATTAAGCAGGCAGGCAGCTGAGTGGCTAGGAACCAGTGGTCCTGGATTACAAGAGGGATGTCCAACTGCCAGTTTATGCCCAATCCTCAGGATCAGGCCTAAACTGGCAGTCGGACATCCCCTGAGGGGTCCCGGATTAGAGAGGGTGCACCCCTCTCCCCCCCTCCCCCCGCATGAATTTTGTGTACCGGGCCTCTAGTAATATTATAATGAAGCTGAAAAAGTTTGATTGCCTAGTGAGGTTAGAACTTTCATAATGTCAGAGCACAACCTTTTACTCATATGTCTGTGGTGGTAATGGTGTAAACAAATCTGTGCTGCCAGTAAAAGTATAGCACGTACAATTGTGTACAGTACATAATAATTGATAGTGATAATAAATGACTGTTACTGGTTTATTTATTGTACTGTATTCTTTATTGTTATTTTTAGAGTATATTTATTCAAAAAACTTATTCAAAACACTTGGCTCTAAAACAGTATGATGTGCCTCATACATCTCGTGTTTACTGTGTCTCTAGATTGCATCATTTTCTCTTATGCTTCATTTAATCTGGGGTTGGTTTATAAATTTGGTGTAGCTTAAGTGTACAGTGTTTATAGTTTAGAGTGGTGTACAGTAATATCCTAGGCCTTCACATTCACTCACTATTCACTTACTGATTCACCCAGAGCAACATCTAGTCCAGCAAACTCCATTCATGGTAAATGTCCTATACATGTGTACCATTTCTTATCTTTTATACTATACTAGAGGCCCGGTGCACGACATTCATGCACTCGGTAGGGAAGGGAGGCCCTCAGCCTGGCCTGCACCCTCTTGCAGTCCAGGAGCCCTAGGTGAATGTCCGACTGATGGCAGTTGGACATCTTTAGCACTGCTATGGAGGTGGGAGAGGCTCCCACCACCACAGCTGCTGCACTCACCAGCTGTGAGCTCGGCTCAGGGCTCCTGCTGGTCAGTGCACATCATAGTGACCAGTCGTTTTGCCTTTCGGTTGATTTGCATATTAGCCTTTTATTATATAGGATTATTACTATACCTTTTCTATGTTTATATATGTTTACATACATAAATATTTAACATTGTGTTACAGTTGCTTACAGTATTCAATACAGTAACATGTTGTATAGATTTATAGCCTAGGAGCAATAGACTATACCATATAGCCTGTGCATGTAGTAGGCTATTCCATTTAGGTTTTTTTTTTTTTTTTTTTTTTTTTTTTTTTTTTTTCAGTCAGTGTAGCGCGCGTGCAGCCCCGGACATCTAAGGGCATCACAGACCTGTTATTGCTCAATCTCGGGTGGCTGAACGCCACTTGTCCCTCTAAGAAGTTGGGGGACCATTTAGGTTTTCATAAGTGAATTCTATGATGCACAGTGACAAAATAACCTAATGACGCATTTCTCAGAATGTATCCCCATTTTAAGCAGCACATGACTGTATTCACTACGTTGGGTAACTATCACCACTGAGAAGTCATTCTTTCTGTCTTCCCCCAGCCCTGTCAACCACTAATCTACTGTCTGTCTCTGTGGATTTGCCTGTTGTGGACATTTCAGATTGAACAAAAATCATACAGTATTGGTCTTTTAGGTTCATCTTCTTTCACTTAGAATATTGTTTCCAAGATTCATGCATATTGTAGCATGTATGGTACTTTTTTCCTTTTTATAGCCAAATTGTATTTTATTGTGTGGATTATACTACACTTTATCCATTCATCAGTTTATGGACTTTTGGGTTTTCCTACTTTTTAGCTAGAGTAATGATACTAGGAATATCAACTTTTTATATCATTATGTGTCTCTATCCACTTTTTTAATAGAAATCACTTTTACTTTATTAATAAGCTATACTTACTTAGACTTACGTATTTGGCAGACATTTTCTGCAAATGAACAAAGTGACCCTCTCACTTCAAAGAAAACACCTGACTATATTATAAGTGGTAAAGTTTGAGATTTCAAGCAAATATTAGAATTGTGGAAAACTTTTATTTCCCACTGTGAGCATGACAACTTTCCAGTAGAGAACTTCTGATGAGATTGTTGATAATATGAAGGAACATGACTTTCTGATAGTGTGTAATAAAATGTGTCAACATTTGGAAATGCCGCACAACTCTGTGAACCAGTATTTTCTGAATCATCAATGTATAATACTATAAAATCATGTCCATTTAAAGTGTAGGATAGACAAAAATGTTTCTTAAAAGAGCTTTATTGAGGTAAATTTAATTACAATGTAATTTATTTCTTCTAAGAATACAGTTCAGTGATTTTCAATAAATTTATAGTTATAACCATTACCTCAATCCAATTTCAGAGCATTTACATTACCCTAAGAGGATTTTTTATGCCAATTTGCAGGCATTGCCCTTTACAATTCCCAGTTACAGGCAATTACTAATCTACTTTTTGTTTTTATATTTATATTTTAGCATTTTCTGGACATTTCATAGTAATGGAATCATACAATGTGTGTCCTTTTGCATAATGTTTTTGCGGTTCATTCAAGTTATGTTTTCAGTAGTTTGGTGGGTTTTGGTGCAGAAATACTACTATCCCATTGTGTGGATATTACACACTTATTTATCCTTTTATCATTTGATGGGTATTTAAGTTATTTCCACGTTTGGGGTATATAAAAATGCCACTACATGAATATTCGTGTTTATGAATATTTTTTGTGAGAACATATGTTTTCAGTTCTCTTGGATGTAAACCTAAGAATAGAATTTCTGGGTCATACGATAACTCTATGTTGAATATTTTCAAAAAACGCTAAACTGTTTTCCAAATGACTGTACCATTTTACAGTCCCAACTGCAGTATCTGAAGGTTCCAGTCTCTCCACATTCTCACCAGAAGTCATTATTATCTTTTTAAATTGTAGCCATTCCAGTGAGTGTGAAACAGTATCTCATCATGGTTTTAATTTGCATTTTCCTGATTACTGATGATTTTGAATGTATTTTCATGTGCCTGTTGGCCATTTGTACTTTTTAAATAAACTGTCTATTCAATGTTTTGCCCATTTTAAAATTATCTTCTTATTTTTGAGTTGTAACCGTTTTTCATATATTCTAGATCAGCTGTGGGCAAACGACGGCCCGCGGGCCGGATTCGGCCCGTTTGAAATGAATAAAACTAAAAAAAAAAAAAGACCGTACCCTTTTATGTAATGATGTTTACTTTGAATTTATATTAGTTCACACAAACACTCCATCCATGCTTTTGTTCCGGCCCTCCGGTCCAGTTTAAGAACCCATTGTGGCCCTCGAGTCAAAAAGTTTGCCCACCCCTGTTCTAGATAGAAGTTCTTTATCAGCTATACTAGTATGATTTGCAAATATCTTCTCAAGTCTGTGGCTTATCTTTTTATTTTCTTAATGGTACTTTGAGTAAAAGTTGTAAATTTTAATGAAGCCCAGGAAAATGATTTTAATGTCACAGAGCATGGAGTGTTCATTGGTATGGTTTTAGTTTCCATATTTTAATTAACCTTTAAGGTATCATTTGTAGAGGTTTGATGTAGTATTATCTAAAAGGACAATTAAAGTATTCTTTTATTTTTATCAATTTTATATCTGTGTGAACCTGGATTTTCTTCGTATCTTTCAAACTAAACTGTACCTGCCAACAGGTTGAATGAAGATGGGGATATGAGATGCAAGTGTCTTTTATTAAGCCACATATTAAAGAGATCTACAAAAAGTTAAAACAATACCCTTTTTGTCATTACTTTTTTTAATTTTAAAGATATAGTTGTTTTTCATGAAAATGTTATTTATGTTAACGTATAATATGTTTAGTGTTAATTTTAAATGAATTGGATAAATACTTAAAATTATTTAATACTGATACGATAGTAAATATCGAAAGTATAACTTATGTTTGAGGTCGTCAATAATTTTCAAAAGTGTAAAAGGTTTTTGAGGTTAAAAATTCGAGAACTGCTGCTTTTAATTTAACATGCTGATTAGATTCACATAAGGTAGCCCTTATGTGTTTATAGAATTGCTTTTTGATTTTCATATAAGTTAGTCTTGTTTCTCTACTAAATTGTTAGCTTTTTGAAAGCAGGGAACACATATTTTGCTTTTATTTTATTTCTTATAAGATCATAATTTTCCTTGTGGAATAAGTGCTCAAAAGGACTTAATAAGGGATTGAAGGATTTCCTAATGGCTGACCATGTTAGGGCAACATTTACTGTTGGCTTTTACATAAGAAGCTGTGTTCTTTCATTCAGGTGGAAGAGCACAATGGTCACATCTTCAAGGCCACTCAATACAGCATTCCTACGTACTGTGAGTACTGTTCTTCTTTGATATGGATAATGGACCGAGCCTCTGTTTGCAAATGTAAGTATAAGAGATCTTTGAGGAATTTTTTAACTGCTTGACATTTCTATTTCCCTTACTTCTTCTTTTTTTTTAAAGACCTATTCTACTTAAAAAAAAAACTAATTTATTTTAGAGAGAGAAAAAGAGAAAGAAGCATCAATGTGAGAGAAATACATTGCCCTGACAGGCAATTGAACCCACCACCTTTTGGTGTATGGGACAGTGCTCCAATCAACTGAGCCACACAGGCAGAGTTCCCTTAGTTTTCTTATGTCACTATTTCTAATTCTCTAACCTCATCTCTCTCTACTCTCAGTAGCCAAACCAGGTATTTTGATGTTCTTTGGTCACTCTACTTGCAGCTCACTCTATCTGAAATGCTCTTCTTCTAGATGTTAGTTGGACTTTACTATTTCAGTTAATTGATGTCTCTACTCAAATGTTACCTCTTTGAGAGCTCTTTCCTTATTCTGTACCTAAAATGCCACCCGGTCCCCTAATTCTCTGTCCCATTACTCAACTTTAAAAATCTTTTATGGTACTTATCGCCACTCAAGATTATATTAAGTATTCATTTATTTTTTTGTTTGTTTGTCCCACTAGAATGTATGTCCTATAAGGTTGGGAAACTTATCTGTCCCTTCTATATCACCAGTGCCTAAAACAGTTCTGGCATATTGTAAGTTTTAATAATATTTTAATGTAGATGGACCTATAGAATGGATTAATTACCTAATGAATTCTTAGATTATAACCTAAAAGGGTACTTTTTTTCTACTGTAATCTTTCCATCAGAATATATAAATCCTAGATTGTAAATTGGGACTTTTTGTAGGTCAACTTGGTTCTGGCTTATAAGAGGACCTTTCTTCATTCCTGTCATTTCATGGATCTACTCTGGTGCTGTCAGTAATTCTTTGAGGGTTTAATTACTAAGGGCTGGATCTAGTAAGGCAACAAGGATAAAAGTCATCTTCTCCATAGCCAAATCACCACTATTGCTAGATATGTTTACATGTTCTATGCTTTAACAATTGTTTTCTTTTATTTTGTTTAAAAAGCTATAGTGACGTATTTAATGTTAGTCTGATTCCTTTTGGTTTGGTATAATTTTATCTCTAATTTGAAACTGAAAATGTAAAGAATCTGCTTTTTTATGACTTGGGTGGGCTTGGTTTGATTTCTTAGTAGAATTACTTTCTTTGTGACTATACTGGTGATTTCACCGGTGAATGAGGTCCTTACTTGGTCTTGGCCTTGAAACACCGCAAGTTATACTATTGGAGGTCAAGGATATGATATGCAGGTGCTGGTGCTTGTATAGCAGAATGACATAGGCCAGCTGTGTTCTTAGTGTCTTCCTCTTGATGTGCCTCTTCCTACCTGCCTAGACACCCTATTTTCTCCTGCTCTAAGATGTTATTTCTGCTCTGAACCTTTTCTTTATCTTATCTTCCCAAACACAGCTGATATTTTTATGTTTTGATCTTCAAAGCTCTATTCTGGACTTTTAAGGCCTTTCTTATATCTTATGCATTAATTTTTTTTTTATTATTTCAGTAAAGGTCTTTGGCAGTAATGCCTTTCTTACCCATTGGAATGTTTGCAAATGTAGCTATTTCTGGCATTTTAGCAGATTGTAAAATGAGGGGAACATGAATAATTTGTGAATCAAACCACAGAGACAAATAAATATTGTACTGGAATATGGGAGGGGAGGGGAGGAATGGTAGGCAAAATTATAAAAAGTATAGACATTGTTTAGAAACTTTAGGCATGTTTTTCAACTTTATATTTCCAAATAGAATGGATTAAATAAGTAAATTGAATTTATAAAGGATGGGTTAAACTTTTTTTCTTTCTAATATTGTACAAAGCATATATTCAATATTATGGCAGTCTGGGATCTAAAGAAAAAAATTTATATCCAAAATAAACATAAACTTTTTAAGTTCTTGTCATTGATGTACAGACTTCTAAAAATTCTGCATTCTTAACCTGTTTTTCAGTATGCAAGTATGCTTGCCATAAGAAGTGCTGTCTGAAAACCATAGCCAAGTGTTCTAAAAAGGTAAGAAGTTATTACCTATGCGTAATAATTAACAGATCTGTTGGTTTTTTGTGCCTCATGAAAAGAAACCAAGGCCTCTTTCATAGTTTTATAGAGCAGTGGGTTTTAAACTTTGACTGCAAATCATAGTAAGAAATATACATTTTATGTCATGATCCAGCATACACATATAGAAAGATGTATATTTATATATAACTGAATTGATTTTCCTGGAACTACATTTTCCTTTACTACATGGGAGCTACTAAACTGATTTCCCTACAATATATTAAAACACTGCTTTTAAAGGTTTTCTACTTCATTAAACACTCATATATCTTCCTAGGAGTTGTCTTAAAAGTGGTAGTTTACAATTAAATATTTTAATATGAACATCAAAATGCACCATTTAGTTGGTGGATACACAGAGGTCTAAAAGATACTGAACATGTACTTTGGTGTCTCATGCTTCAAGGAAGCAATTGTTTTTGAAAGATTTCAGGCTTTTATTGATGTATAATCACATTTTCTTACTTATTAGTAACATACAGACAATTGTAACAATACTGTGCAAATCTGAACTATAATATAAATGTGTGTGCATGCTGTCTATAGCCTTTAGATAGAATTTTCATTGGTTCCAAATTAGTAGACAAATCATGGCTACTTAGAGCAAGCATGTCAAACTTGTGGCCCACGGGCTGCATGCGGCCCACAACAAATATTTTTGCGGCCCAGCCAATATAATTTGTTTATATACAATATCAGACATTAAGAAATGAGACTAAGAGAAAAACAGACAATATCAATAGACTCACAGATTATCCAATTACTGAGTTGTCAGACATGTACTTTAAAAATTTTTTATTAGAATGTTCAAATAATAGGTAAAAATATAGAAATTTTCTTGTCTATCAGAAAGAAACTAGACCACCTTCTTATAAGAAAAAGCTCTGAATGATTAAAGACTTAAATGTTAGACTCAAAACCATAAAATTCCTAGAAGAAAACATAGGCAGTAAAATCTCTGACATTTCTCTTAGCAATATTTGTTCTGATATATTTCTTCAAGCACGGGAAACAAAAGAAAGACAAATGGGACTACACCAAACTAAAAAATTTTTGCATAACAAAGGAAACCATCAACAAAACAAAAAGACAACCTTCTGAATAGGAGAATATATTCACCAATGATATGTCTGATAATGGGTTAATATTCAAAATATATAAGGAACTCATACAACTTAAAACACATACACACCAAAAGAACAGAACAACAAACAAAGCCAATTCAATTAAAAAATGGGCAGAGGACTTGAAAAGACATTTCTCTAAGACAAGCATATCAAACTCAAAGGCTAACACAGGCCACATAAACAAGGTTTAAGTTTATGTGGGCCACAAAAAAATAAAAGCTTCAATTTTCATAGAAACGTAGCTTTATTTCGATAGAGATATGCTGAATACAAAGGGCTGAAATAAATGAGTAATCGTTAACATAAAATAATAGAACATTTTAATAAAAATTATTTTTTCCTGAACATTAACTTACCAGACACTGAATAACTGCACAAATTAATTGGTAATACAAATAAACCTATTTTTCTTGTTCTCCAAAAGTGAAATATTTCCTGTTGTGCACACCAAACAAGTCAGTACAAGACTAATGACGTGGCAATCAGCTGCTAAAATATTCGCTGTTAGTATTAGTGTGCCTGCGCATAAGGCGCATAAGGAAAATGAATGCAACATGATTATAATAATCAGTCATTAACGAACATAGTAATTCGTTATTAACTAGAGGCCTGGTGCATAAAATTCGTGCACGGGTGGGGGGGCGGATCCCTCAGCCCAGCCTGCACCCTCTCCAATCCAGGACCCCTCAGGGGATGTCCAACTGTCAGTTTAGGCCCAATCCCTGTGGGATTGACCCTAAACCGACAGTTGGACATCCCTCTCACAATCGGGGACTGCTGACTCCTAAGCGCTTGCCTGCCCCTAACTCCTGCCCTGCCGGCCTGATCGCCCCTAACCACCTCCGCCTGCCGGCCTGATGGCCCCCTAACTGCCCCCCTGCCGGCCTGATTGCCCCTAACTGCCCAGCCCTGCCAGAGATCGTCCCTAACTGCCCTCCTCTGCTGGCCTATCACCTCTAATTGCCCTTCCCTTCCGGCCTGATTGCCCCTAACCGCCTCTGCCTCAGCCTCCACCACCATGGCTTTGTCTGGAAGATGTCTGGTCTAATTAGCATATTACCCTTTTATTAGTATAGATTATGTATAACAGGATATTGTAAAAATTAAGTTACTAAATTTTTATTAAACATTTCTTACATACCGTTATATTGGCTGGGCCGCAAAAATATTTGTTGTGGGCCGCATGCAGCCTGTGGGCCACAAGTTTGACATGCTTGCTCTAAGAGGACATATAGGTGGCCAGTAGATATATGAAAAATGCTGAATGTCACTGACCATTAGGGAATTTGAAAATGAAAACCATATCACCTCACACCTGTCAGAATGGCAATCATCAATAAATCTACAAGCAGCCCTGGCATTAGGTTTGATTCCCAGTCAGGGAAACATATCTAGGTTGTGATTTGATCACTGGTCGGAGTACGCACAGGAGGCAACCAATCAGTGTTTCTCTCTCACATCGATGTTTCTTTCTCCCCCACTTCCTTCCCTTTCCCTTCCTTTCTCTAAACATATCCTTGGTGAAGATTAGAAACAAAACATATCCTTGGGTGAAGACTAATAAAAATAAATAAATCAATCAACAAACAGCAATTGTTGGCAAGGATGTAGAGAAAAGGGAACCCTCATGCACTTCTGGTGTGATTGTAAATTGATGTAGCCACTATGGAAAACAGTATTGAGGTTCCTCAAAAATTTAAAAATGGAACTACCTTATGACCCAGCAATTCTACTTCTCGGTACTTATCTGGAGAAATCCAAAACACTAATTCAAAAAGATATATGCACCCTATATTTATTGCACCATTATTTAGAGACCCAAGACTTAGCAACCTAAGTCTCCATTGATAAATGAATGGCTAAAGAAGAGGTGGTGCATATATATAATGGAATATTACTCAGCCATATAAAGCAAATTAATTTTACAATTTGTGATAACATAGATGGACCTAGAGGATATTATGCTAAGTGAAATAAGTTAGAGAAAGACAAATTCCATATGATTTCACTTATATGTGGAATTTAAAAAATATACTAACAAGCAAAATAGAAACTCACAGATACAAAGAACATTTTGATAGTTGCCAGATGGGAAGGAGGTTGGGGGATAGGTATAAAGGAGAAGAAATTAAGATGTACAAATTGCCAATTATAAAAATAGTCATGGGTATGTAAAATACAACATAGGGAATATAGTTAATATTGTAATAACTGTGTATGGTATCACGTAGGTACTAGACTTATCTGGGTTATCACTTTGTAGGTTATATAAATGGCTAAATACTATGTTATACACCTGAAACTAATATAATATTGCACATCAACTGTAATCGAAAAATTTTTTAAAAACAAAGACAAATTTGCCCAAAGCTATCCTCCTATATAATAAAAGCCTAATATGCTAAGTGTCCGGTCGTCCAGTTGGCCGTTCAACCAATCAAAGCATAATATGCAAATGATATGCTAAGGCCGCTCAACTGCTCGCTATGACATGCACTGACCACCAGGGGGCAGATGCTCCGACTGGTAGGTTAGCTTGCTGCTGGGGTCCAGCCGATTGGGGCTGAGCGAGATGGGCCGGACACGCCCTGGAGCCCTCCCAGGGGCCCTCCCCAGCTGGCCAACCTCCTGTGTCCCTCCTCAGCCCCGATCATGCACCCGTGGGGTCCCTTGGCCTTGCCTGCACCCTCTCGCAATCTGGGACCCTTCGGGGGATGTTGGAGAACCAGTTTTGGCCCAATTCCACAGGCCAGGCCGAGGGACCCCACTGGTGCATGAATTCGTGCACCTGGCCTCTAGTTGGTTAATAAAATTATATAGATTACAAGTGTACATTCTATAATACATCATCTGTATATGTGTTTTGTGTTTGCCACCCAAACTCAAATCTCCTCTTCTCACCATACTTTTGACTGCCTTTACCCTTTACTACCTCGTCGGACATCCCCCGAGGGCTCCCAGACTGTGAGAGGGCACAGGCCGGGCTGAGGGACCCCCCTGAGTTCATGAATTTCGTGCACCAGGCCTCTAGTAATAAATAAACAGCATATTAAAAATAAAAAATGTTAATAAACCAAATACTTTGAATTACAACATCAGGTTAAAACCAACTGAAAGACTTCAGTGATATCCTGTTTATAACAGACATGCTTAAATATAAAGATAGAGAAAAGTTGAAAGCGAAGGATAGATATAGGATAGAAAGAGTAGCCAGTAGAAAGGTGGTGTAGCTGTATAATATTAAAGTGTACTTTAGGACAAGAAACATTATGTCAGATAAAGATGTTTAATAATGAGAAAATGGTGAACCTATCAGGGAGACAGAAAAATTTTATCTTTAGAACAGTCTTATATTGCTTTTAATACCTGGCAGACAAAAATTCAGTAAAGATGAAAATGATATGAAAAACAAAGGTTAAAAAACTTAACCTAGCCCTAGCCAGTTTGGCTCAGTGGATAGAGCGTCGGCCTGCGGACTCAAGGGTCCTGGGTTCGATTCCGGTCAGGGGCATGTACCTTGATTGCGGGCACATCCCCAGTGGGGGGCGTGCAGAAGGCAGCTTGTCGATGTTTCTCTCTCATTGATATTTCTAACTCTGTCCCTCTCCCTTCTTCTCTGTAAAAAAATCAATAAAATATATTTTAAAAAAAAACAACTTAACCTAGTTGTCATGTATTGAACTTGACATCCTATAATTGCCTGACTACAGTCTTTTCAAGTGCACATGGAACATTTGACAAAATCAGTCATGTTGGGCCATAAAGCAAGTTCCTACAAATTTCAAAAGATAGAAAATATTGAGAGTCTATTCTTTGAGCAGAATTGAATTAAGCTATACATAAACATAAGGATAACTAGACAATTCTCATGTTTGGAAATTAAGCAGTATACTTCTAAATTACAATAAAAGTAGAAAAATATTTTGATTTCAGTGGTAATGAAATTATGACATAGCAAAAGTGTGGCTATAGATAAAGAATAGTTGTAACTTTAAATCATATATTACAAAAGATACAAGGATAGAAGTGATCTAAATTGCCATCTCTAAAAAAAAAAAAAAAAGAAAAAAAAGCCCAGGAAGTTAAACCCAAAGACAGCAAAAGGAAGATAATAAAGAAAAATAAATTAAATCAAAAGCATTTGTTCAAGAGATATAAATGTACAAAGACACATTTTAGCCCTTTAAAAAACCTCAAACAATAATCTCTTAGCAAACGATAAAATTTTTAACAAAGTGCCATGTCACTGCAGGTATTGCATACATTATAAGGTAAATAAAACACTATTACAAATACCTTGATACCAATAAATTTGACAATCTAGATTAATTGGACACATTTCCACAAAACACAACTTAGCTAAACTAAGGTAACAAAAAATAGGAAATAGAATCATATTTATTATAGTGGAATCTATAATTGAAAATCTTTCCACAAAGAACTCTCTAGATCCAGATGGTTTTACTATAAATATGTGTTAGTATTTAAAGAGGAATCAACACTAATCTTTTACAAACTATGCCAGGAAATGGCAAAAGAGTGAATACTTTGTGACTTTTTTTTTTTTGACCAAATTGACTTATGTGAAACCTTGAAGGCAAGCATGAAAAGGATATTACAATAAAGGAACATTGCACATCAATATATATCATAAGCATAGATGTAAAAGTCTTAAAATATTGGCACATTGACTCTGTACTAATGATTAAAAAGTGAAAAAGTAACTCATGATAAAGTTGGTTTTTATTTTATGAATGCAAAGTTGGTTTATCATTCAGAAATCAATGTAATTCACTACATTGAGCAAGTAAAGAAAAAAGTGTGATCATCTCTACAGGAAAAGTATTAGAACTCAAAACCCATTCATTATTCAAAGAAGAAGGGAAATGCAAATTGAAACGATAGTGAGATAATAGTATATGCCCACTAGAATGGCTAAAATTAAAAATACCCTAGCAAGGATTAAAGCAACTGGAACTTTCATCCATTACTGGTAGGAGTGTAAGTTGACATATTCTTGAAATTATTTGACAGTATTTATCAAACTTGAACATAAGCTTTCTCATGACTTTTAGCAGTACCACTCTAAGATATATATACTCAACAGATATACATAGATATTTGTGCCCAAAGACAAATACAAGAACATTTATATCATCACTGTTTGAAATAGCCCCAAACTGAAAGAACTCTGAATATCCATCAGCAATAGAATGAATAAATAAGCTGTGGTATATTTGTATAATGGAATGCTATATAGCAATGAAATTAAACTATTGGTACTCAGAAACATAAAGTTCAAAATTGATGAAACTAACTCATGATATGCATGTTCTACCATTTATATAATGTTCAAAAGCAGATAAAATTATAGTGATACAAGTATAGATACTGGTTATTTGTAAACAGTAAAACACAATTGCTGGGAGTGCCTTGAGGGGAATTTTATATTGCTGGTTATATTCTATTTCTTGATTTGGGTCCTGGTAACAAGTGTGCATTTATTTTGTCAAAGTCTATATACACTTAGGATCTGTACACATTTTTGTATGTATGTCCTACTTCAATAAAACTTTATTTAAAATTCTCAAGGAAGTTAATTTGGAGGAAAAAATTATAAAAACATTTTTACAAAGAAAACTCAGTTAAATTTTTCAGTTGAAAATATTCAAATTAATTTTTCCTTGATTTCTTGAGTCTTCATTAACATTACCAATGCCCTAGCGATAGCCATATCATTTAAGTAAATGAATTATATAAGTGCATGTGTGTATTATAATAATAATAGTAAGAAATTTGGACAATATTCATTTTGTTTTAATCACTGCAGCAAGCATTATTTTATTTATTTAACAATTCATTGAGCATTTGTCATTTACCAGGTACTGTGCTATATATGTTTATCTGTAACTTAATCTTTACAATAACCCTCTGAAATAGAAAAACGATATTCCTGTTACAAATATGAAATAACCTAAATAAACTAATATATATAGTGATTATATAAAATTTTTACTTGTATCCTATAAATAGTTCAAGATTAAATGTCTTTTCTATTCCACCTCAGACCTAGAAATATTTTTCAGAGATATTACCTTGTATAATTTAAGGCTGCTGGAATGCAGAGTATATGTAGATGAATGATGAATAAAAATATAAAACTTATATCTTCCCCTACTTAAAACTCTCTGGTGGCTTCCCCTAGCTATCAGGACAAGACCCAAATTCTGTAACTTAGTATTCAAAGTCCTTTATAATGTTAGCTTTTTCTCATTTTTAGTTCAGCCATATCAGATTAATGTTAATTTGCCCAATTTTGTAGTTCTTTGTTTTCTGTGTCTAACGGGTGCTTTTCTTGCTTTCTTTACTCATGTACTAGTATTTGCTTTCCAACAGGTCTTCTCAAGGTCATTATTTGTTACCCAGCCCAATCCTTCGTGATCTAGCTGTTTCACTTCTGTAGCTCCATAATACTGAATAAATCTGTTGTTTCTGTTCTATTTATCTCCACACACTTAAACTACTAGTCTTAGCATTAGTCTTAGGATAAGGACTATCTCTTATTTGATTTTGTTTCCCCATTATCTAACACATAAGTGACAAATGCATTAACATAAGACTGTAAAGAGAAATTAGGATCAATTCAAGTAATATCTTAAATGTTAGACTGAGGAATGTTTGCACCTTTTATTCGATATATACTAATTAGCCCTGAAGATTTTTGAGGATAATAAAGTAGACTATAGCCCCAACCAGTTTTCTCAGTGGTTAGAGCACAGCCCTAGGACCAAAGGGTCTCAGGTTTAATTTCTAGTCAAGGACATGTACCTGAGTTGCAGGTTTGATCCTCAGCCCCTAGTCAGGGTGCATGAAGGAGGCAACCAATTGGTGTGTCTCTCATTCACATTGATGTTTCTCTTTCTCTCTCTTCTTCCCTCCCTCCCTCCCTCTCCCTCCCTCCCTCCTCTCACCCTCCCTCCCCCTTCCCATCATTCTAAAAAAGTTATGGAAAAAATATATCCTCAGGTGAAGATTAACATAAAAATAAAGTAGACTATATATACTTTACAGTATATTAAGTGAAAATAGATATGGGGAAATTCATTAAGAAGCTATTGGAATAGTCCAAGTATGCAGTGATGCAGGTTTGAACTAGGGTGATGGCACTGAGAACAGGAAATTAAAAATAGAGTGTATTGCTTGATTAAAAGAACTTGACACTGATTGGATGCAGATAGGAGGACAGAGGTACACAGTGTTGGATTAGGGAAGAAAAATGGTGCAGGAGAAGGAAAGGACAAAAATGAAATTTACACAAAAGGTTTTTGCTCAGAGATAATACCTCACATTTTTCTTTTCTGAGAATTGAAATAATTTTAAGGATAAACTATTCTTTTGTAGTCACATAAACTGTAGTTAGTAAGATATGATGTCAGATACACTATTGAAGTAAATAAAAAAGAGCTAGAACACTAAACATGGGCCAGTCTGTGTGTGCCTCTGCCTTTAGCTATGGCATCAGTGTTTAGTTGAACTTCTCTAAAATTACATAAACATTAAAGCATTTTTTTTAATCCTCACTCAAGGATATTTTTTTTCCATTGATTTTAGTGGGGGGGGGGGGCTGGGGGGGGAGGAAGAGAGACAGAGAGAGAAACATCTACTGCTTGCCTCCTGCATGCGCCCTGAAACCCGGGATCAAGCCTGCAACAGAAGTATGTTCCCCCGACCAGAATTGAGCCCTCAACCCTTTGGTCTGAAGGCCAACTGAGCTGGCCAGGCGACAATTCTAATTCAGATAAAATTGGTAGATTTTCTAATGGTACCTGTTAAATGTTAATGTACATTTAAGTTCCTTCTCTCTCTCTCTCTCTTCACCTTTACATGAAGAGATTTTTAACAGGAAGGGAAATAGCAGCCTGTTACCTTCATTCTTCACCCCATTATTTTTGGGGGGTATTCCTAGTGGGAGAGGGTGGAAACTAACATCAAACTTATTTATACTGTCAGCTTTAACCATGATCCCCTTTCCCCCTAACTCTCATAACTAGGCTCATAAGGGAAATAAGTAGTTCCTCTTAAAAAATTGGTTAAACATGTTTAAAGATGTTTGAACGTATTTGGGAAACAAAAATTATCTTCCATTTAGTATGACCCAGAGCTATCATCTCGACAATTTGGGGTTGAACTGTCCCGTTTGACTAGTGAAGACCGAACTGTTCCTCTAGTGGTGGAAAAGCTCATAAACTACATTGAAATGCATGGACTGTACACAGAAGGTATTTACCGAAAGTCTGGTTCAACTAATAAAATCAAGGAGCTTCGACAAGGTCTAGACACAGGTAAGAATGGTGCCCTCCAAATCAAGACCAAATGACAAAATAGTCATTTTGTGCCCTTAAAGTTTTTATTACCTCCTGCATGCGCCCTGTTGATCATTTTTTTGTGCCAGAAGAATGTAATCTTTTCTGTGATGCTTATTTAATCATTTTGTGGCTTTCTAAAGAGACTTTTTTACAAAAAAAAAAAAAGTTTTTGATTTTAGAGAGAGAGAGATCAATGTGAGAGAGAAACATTGCTTAGTTGCCTCCCAGTACACACCTGGACCAGGAACTGAACCTGAAACCTGGGCTTGTGCCCTGACCAGGAATTTAATTGGCAACCTTTCCGTGCATGGGATATCACTCAATCAAATAAGCCACACAGGCCAGGAGACTTTGATTTTTATGTGGTCAATTCAGCAAACATATATTGAGTGTGTCATTTATACAAGACATTATTAGGTACTTCAGACAAATCTCATTTAATCTTTTTAACAGTCTGGTAAGATTATGATATCTGTAATTTTCAAAGAAAAATTTAGGTTCAGGGTAATTAAATGAACTGTTGATGATGCAGGGCACTGAGCTAATGCTGTTATATACGGTAATAATCTTCACAACAATCCTATGAATTAGGGATTATTATCCCTGTTATAGATTTAAAAAACAGAGGTTTAAAGAGGGGCTTGCCCAAAGACTCATCACCCTTAAGTAGTCAAGCTGGAATTTAACACCAAATCTTTAGAATTCATAGTCTAAACTATTGCCTGTTAATCTCTATTTTTCTGATTCCAAGTACAGTTTGCAGTGCATCTTCCTGCCTTCCTACATTGATGACATAGTTATTTAAACTGATAATTATTGGGTTGAACATGTAGCTGTGAACAGCTTTAGCTACAGCTCTGGAATGTATCCAGGGGTTTGACTTTGGTTTCATTCTCAACTTCTACTCTTTATTGCTATTGGGAATAGGTCATTTTGAATCACACTTATGTATAAAACCTCTCTCTGCATAGTCAAGAACCTACCCACAGTAGTTGGGTTTTTTTAAATGAACAAATCAATGAGAAATGAATCAGTAAGGAAATAATAACAGAAAATGCCTGGTAAAACTTAAGCAAGAGGTTCTGCCTACTCCAGTTTAAAGGCAATTGCCAACTTGTCTCTTGGATATTGAGTCAATACAAGTGAAAAATCAATCATCCTATATCCTCTCGATCATCTTGATTATCTCATCTTTAAACCTCATCTGTAGAAACTCCTTAAGGAGTTAATAAGTGAAACAGAGTAAAGGTATTTTCTTTACATTTCCTAAGTTCAATTATTACTCTCCTTTCATCTCTAAGAATGACTTAAAATCAGCCTTACTTTTAGAAAATGTCCTCTGGGACTTTTTTCCATTTGCCATCTAAAGCATTGTTACTAACAGTGGTTCAAGACAAACATAGCAAGATAAGTACAGAAGTTGAGAGTAAGCATTTGGAAACTGTTAGAGCAATTTAACAGTGCTTTGAAACTGATCTTTTATTTTACACATGGATCAGTCTATAACAGATTTGGAAAACAAACATAAACTGCTCATTTACTAACTACAGTTAGAAGCACTGTTCCAAAGTATGGGATTAGATTGTAGAAGATATAAATTAGCCTGATTAAGAACATGAAGCCTTCTTTTGGTGATGATAGTTTCTGAAATGAATTATTTGAATCTCTTTGCATGTTTTGTCTTTATTATCTATAAACTCTTGTCTATAAATAGATGCTGAGAGTGTAAACCTAGATGACTATAACATACACGTCATTGCAAGTGTATTCAAACAATGGCTTCGTGATTTGCCCAATCCACTCATGACCTTTGAACTGTATGAAGAATTTCTTCGAGCTATGGGTAAGCACAGGCTTCCTGAGTCTGAGGGAAGGCCTACACTTGAGAAAGGAATGCCACCTTTGTTATAGATTATTTAGGCATCCTCTAGTAGTGGTTTTACCATGAAGATCCAAAAGTATGCTTTTGGTAGTCAATATAAACTGGCAGTAAATGTTGACTTTTTTAGAGGCTCATTAAAATGTCAGTGTCCTAAAAGTTTTCCGAGTTAGTTGCTTGTCACAGATTGCAAGACTAGGGTTCCAAACAAATTAAAAGATTAAATAGGATATGTTATAGGCACCTCTCACAGACACCAGAGAGGTGTTAGGGGACAGCCCCATGAGTGGGAGGGAGAGGGCTGTCCCCTCCTCGGTTCTAGTCTTGTATGAATGAATTCAAACAAGTGACTCCAGATAATTGCATTGCGTTAAAGTTCATTTATTAAGAAAGTAAAGCATTCAAATTTATTAAAGAAACAAGGCAAGCAAATCTATCTGGCATGAAGCACGGATGGGCTCTCAGCTAATCTGAAGAGTGAGTGTTGTGTGGGGATGGGTTGCCTTATATACTTTTCTGTCTATAAATTTTTAAATTCCTCTGCTAGATATCCTAGTACAGGTTAACTCTGAAAGTCTCTCTCTCTTTTACTTTGTTATGGCTTTCTCAGAATTTATGAGAAGCACCTGGCAATTAAATTCAGAGACTGTTGGCTTTTTTGTTTAAACAGTGGGATGAGATGAGACTGCACTCTTCCTTCCCTCTTCTTCCTCCTCTATGCCTCTCCCTCTTCCCTTCCCCCTCTCCTGCATTCTTTGAGAAACATTAACCATTTGCTCTCATGCATCCTTGATTGGGGGAAGATAAGGGCTTGCTATTTATAAGCTGGCTACAGGCTGCCAAACTGTTTGGCCTTGTTTAATTTTCTTATCTCAGTTTCCCTATTCCTCCCACCATGGAATTTTCCTAGCTGCTTCTTAAACTATAACAGGATATTTAAGGGTTGGTTTATGATCATTTAAATTGTGAATCTAGGCAAGAACTCTGTGTAAAGCTGGCTGTCTATTTTATGCCAGGTTTAACAGGTTATGGAATTTAGTTTTTCAGTGCTGATATGTAGACTATGGATGAAGGCCTAGAAGTATGTAGTCTCTGAGGCATGACTTCTCAAAGGCCCATAAGACTTACTTAAAAATTATATGGCAGTTGATTAATTTTAATGGGGGATCAGTTAGCCACCAGATGCCTGAAAAACTAGGGCATCTCTTTCCCCTTGTTGTAATCAAGGGTTACTGGAATATAGATGAAAACTCAGGAGATTGCTAATGAAAATAGAACTCAAGCAATGAGAGATAAGTGGTAACTGAGTTAACCTGCCACATAGGCACAACTACCTCTCCTAAAACTCTAGAGCCAGTCTCCCCTGCTACCTAATGTCTATCCAGGAGGAATATTCTGTATATAAGAGGGGATATTCAATCTTATATGCTGCTCTTACTGTTTTTAGGTCTTCAGGAAAGGAAAGAGACAATTCGTGGTGTATACTCTGTGATTGATCAGCTTTCCCGAACTCATCTTAATACACTGGAACGCCTCATCTTTCATCTTGTCAGGTAACTTCAGCAGTTCCTTTTGGATTCTTTTAAATAAATGAAGAGCTTTTTTATTTGGAAAACTGATAGATCTTTTTTTCCCTATGTATAAAGTCAATGCCTGAAAGAGATAATTAACAATTCCTTGGAGCAGAAATTCTCAGACTAGTTGGACAATCTGTCAGGTGCTTCTCTGCTGAGTCAAGTAACAACTTTAGCCTCAGGGTGGCACTGTGTAGCCTGACCTATTATTTAAATCCTGAACTAGAAAGTTTGTCTATCTGTTGACATAACCTGATTCATAGGAGGTAGGTTCAGATGGTGCTTAGGAATGGACTGACCAAAGAGACTTCAGGAGTAGTTCTCTTCCTCTGAGTGTAAATAACAGCAGTACTTGGAAAAAACACCATCTTTCTTTTTAGATAAATAAGACTATCTGAAAATGCCTTAAAGTTTCTACTCTACATTCTTCAGACATGTTCATCTAGTAATGGTAACCTTGAGCCATGGGCCATAGATTTCCCTTGATAAGCTATCTGCTGGCCTACTACATTGCTTCAAAGAAGGGACAGAGTAAAAGTGTGTTTTCCAGAGGCAAAGAACAGCTTTCAGAAAAGCCTACAGTATCTCCCTTCAACTGTTATGAATATCCTTCAATACTATGCATTTGATGGCATACGTCTTCTTTCTCATCTCTTCTGCCTACCTCCCTACTATTTTCTCTTTGTTTCACTTGGGGTCTTTCTTTTTTTTTTTTTTAGGATTGCTCTGCAGGAAAACACTAATCGAATGTCTGCTAATGCTTTAGCCATTGTGTTTGCACCCTGCATTCTACGCTGCCCTGATACCATTGACCCACTACAAAGCGTGCAGGACATCAGTAAGACTACCACGTAAGGCCAGTCACCATCACCTCTTCAGTGTAGTCACTTTATCCAGATATCAAACATAGTAAATTATTTTATAAGCTTAGATTATTTTTAAAAGATTTCTGGCCCTAGCTGGTTTGCTCAGTGGATAGAGCATTGGCTTGCGAACTGCAGGGTCCTGGGTTCGATTCCTATCAAGGGCCCATGCCTGGGTTTCAGGCTCGATCTCCAGTAGGGGGCATGCAGGAGACAGCCAGTCAATGGTTCTTTCTCATCATTGATGTTTCTATCTCTCTCTCCCAAGCCCTTCCTTTCTGAAATAAATAAAAATATATTTAAAAAAAAGATTTCTGGACACCTTGGGTTTTTTAATGCTAAAGTTCTTTAGAGTCAGTTCAAGTGAGCATCATTTGTTTTGAGGATTCTTATTTTTAAAATTTGGCTTTTCTTGTTCAGTTGGTTAGAGCATCATTCCAATATGCCAAGGTTGTGGATTCTATCCCCAGTCAGGAATACATAATGAATACATAAATAAGTGGAACAAATCGATCTCTCTATCTTTCTTTCTCTCAAATCAACAAAAATAACAAAATGATTGAAGCAAAGTGTCAACCTTTTTGAACTTTTTAAAAAATGTATTTTTATTGATTTCAGAGAGGAAGGGAGAGAGAGATAGAAACATCAATAATGAGAGATAATCATCCATCAGCCATCTTCTCCACTACCCCTACCAAAGGTTGAGCCCGCAACCCAGGCATGTGCCCTGACCTAGAATTGAACCGTGACCTCCTGGTTCACAGGTCGATGCTCAACCACTGAGCCACAACAGCCGGGCAGGTGTCAACCTTTTTAAAAAAATAAAATGTGGCTTTTATTTAGGAATGCTGTGGTTTCTAAATATTTTTTAAAATTCCAATTTACCAAATTATATATACTTTGTATCTTTTTGTAATCTAGTCTGGTTTTATCGTTCTGAATTCCTTTGCCTTTAGTATTCCTGTATTTCACCTTGGTCTTTTTCTTTGTGAGCCTCTGCTTTCCTTCAGGATTAGTGGCTCTTCACTTATCTGCCCAAGGAGGTTTTAAAAAATACTGGTGTTTGTGTCCTATCCCCACAATCTAGTCTGATTTAATTGTTCTGGGGTATGGCCTGGGCTTTGGGACTTATAACCACTCCTCAGATGGGTACTGAAGTGCAGCCAAAGTTCTGAACCACCATTCTAAACCCTATCAGCTCATAAAATAAGGGATATTGATTTTTCTTTCTCCCTCTGACATCTACCACACTTAGCTGAAAGACAGTCTGTGGGTGCTATATTTTATTTGATTTACTTTAGCCCTTAACAGTTTTCTCTCTTTCCTCCCATTTCAGTTGTGTGGAGCTGATTGTTGTGGAACAAATGAATAAATATAAGGCTCGTCTCAAAGACATCAGTAGCCTGGAATTTGCTGAGAATAAGGCAAAGACCAGGTTGTCACTGATTCGTAGATCAATGGTAAGATGCACGATGTGAAATCACGGGGAAATGAGAGCCTTCCTGGGATTTTAAGTGTGCATTTATGGTGGAGAGAGATTATTCTCTGAGTCTTTTTCACATGAAACAAGTAAAAAAAATCATCAAATCTCAGGGTACTATGAATGCCTCATGTTTGATCTTTTAGCTCTCTTTATTTGTATGTGCAGAACATATATGCAGTTAAATATGTAGGATTTTAAAAATCAGGTATTTGAATAAAATGTTGGAGGTTTAATAATCTGCCCTATTTTCTTTTCCTGTCCTTTCTATGAAAACTTAACCTATCCTAACTTTCTTCTCTACTTCCTTCCACCATCTGTTTCTACCCTCAACCATATCATTTTTGGTGGTCCTGCCAATACTCCTGGGATGTAGAGAACTTAACCAATTGAAAAATATGATTTATAAGGAATTAGAATTTCATCTATGAGTCTACCATTATCAAATAGAGATTCTTGAAGCGTTTATTGTTGTGTTTTGAGAAAAGTCTTGCAAAAATGGTATTTTATTTCTTCCATTTGGCTACTTTTCTGTTTACTATTTTTCTTTGTAACCAATGACCTTCTAGTAACTAGAATATATAGATAATTCCAGTTCTCACTGACCAATAATCAATAGGTTCTGGGTAACTGGAAAACTACTTTGAATTAGAGTTTAATTATTGCACATTTTCTACCCTTCCCCTCAATTGTAAAACAAAATTGTAGTGATGAACACCCACTCAGATCTCCAGTAAATCTCTAAAAAGAAGCAGGCTTCCCCATCATCATACCTGTGTTTTTCCAGTGGCCCAGCAATACTTCCTCCATCTTCATGGTTTATAGTTAGATTAATATTAAAATAACTCTGTTCTTCCTTCAATATTAAAACTGCCTGGCACAGAGCAAGTAATCAACAAATGTCTATTGATTAAATTAGAAGAGGGTCTTTTCTAAAAACAAACATAAAGATAGACTTTTTCCAAGCAGTAAAGCCCATCACAGGACACTATCTAAATCTTTTCCCCAGAAATTGAAAAAAGAAACCCCATTTAAAAGTGAAACCCTTTCTGTAGTATGAATTTTCAGGAACTCAGTTCTGAGAGGCTCATTTTAGCTCATCCAGGCAGGAAGGGAAGAGACCTTTTACTAAAAAAGCTACTTTTCAAAGCAGATAGGCTAGCTGTGTTTTTTTGCTGATGCTGCAGAATAAGTCCACTGAAAGATTAAACCTTCTCTTTTAATGGGACAATAACATGTACATTCTAACCTTCTGCTTTCCTTTTCATGTCCTTCCTAATCCAGAAACCTGTACTAATTGCAGTTAGATTTATGAGCATTACCCGCAGTTCAGTCTCGGTATGTATTAATATTGCAATGTGTCATAGCCACTTTACATTATTGTCTCTCATCCATCCAAGAGTTGTTCTGCTCTGTCTGTCATTCATGCTTGTCCATCCTCAGTGTGCAGCCCCAGGTAAGGCCCCACTTCCTGATCAGCCTTCACTTGCTTTTCTCTTACTCTCTTTCTTTAGAACCTTCATTTTCCTTCCTCTGTATCATGCAGCTGAATAATCTCCATTTACAATATACACATTTTTCCTCTTTGTCAGATAAGCCTCTTTGTGGTTTCTTCTTTGGTTGGATCATTAAAAGGTGAATGTTGAAAGCATTGAGTTATCAAATTAATTTCTGTTTTCTGAGCTGTGTTCTCATTAGTCTCCTTCACTTTATTACTTGAAATATCTGTTGCTACTTCCAACATCCTCCATTATTAGTAATGCTTATATGTCCATTCATATCTGTGACTTCAATGGTGTCTTCCCAGGTATAAAAGTATGGCTCTTATCCAAATAGCATTTTTTAGACTGAGCAGCAAATAGTAGTGTGCAAATTGATGGCCTTAAATATCACAGTATAATAGAACTTACATCAGGATTTTATTAATTATACAAAATAGAAATGGAGATTTGAGAACACCAGTATATAGGGTAACTAATTTCAGAGACTATCCATCTATGTGTAACCAGTTCTTTGAGGATCTCAACTTGCTGGCAAATAAATACAAATCAGTTTTGCTTTTTATCTAGTAACTGTCCTCTAACTCTACCATGCCAAACTCTTTTCCTACTGGATATTGACTACCTTAACAACATCTTGTCACTATTCCATAGTACTCAAATGCTGTAGTCTTATTTCAGTATTTAAGACTTAGTTCTCTTCATACAGCTTCAGTCACGGGCTTGATGTAGTACTCTTATAACTTTATCCAAGGACAAACTGATTTTAATCTGGGGTTGAAAACTTTGGGGGTAGATAAGTAGGGGTTTGTTTCCTTTTTTTTTTTTTTGTCACACACTTCTGCCCTCTCTTTTTCTTGTGCTTTTTCTTCCTCTGGTGTTGAAGCTGGGAGGAGTGATAGGGAGGCAGAATTCTGCATATCCCAGTGTTGAGGTGGCACTTCTCTTTCTTGGTTGTTCCACAGTAATTTCCAGCTCTTTGTCAACAGGCTAAATGAAGATGAGTGACAGCTCGAGTTTACCCTGATGACAGTGAGCTTGATCCTATCCCATTTCCATAAGCATTGATGTCATCCCATGCAAGATTTTGTCACATCTTCTAGCTAAACCTGACTGATGGCATTCACACCTAGTGACTCTGATATGTATTTGTTTTGCAAGACTTTATCCAATCAAATCTACCTCTTATTGTACATTGGGGTAGAGGTTACATTTTTTTATACCTCTTGGGAACCAACAACTCAGGTGGGCAATAGTTTTGCCTACCTCTCTACCTGACACTTACCGACCACACTCTCTCTCCATTTCTCTTTTCTCCTGTGCATATAACAGGGAGGCAAATCAGTAAATCTTTTGCCTATATAGGTAACCAAACGGGATGAAATACTAGTGTGCCTTTCTTTTAAATGACCTCAAACTTTGATTCTAACTTACACAATGGATTCACATACAACTGCTTTTTTCTCCAAACAGGGGATGGAATATCCTTTTTTCATAAACTCTGTGTTTCCCTCAAAGTCCAATAAACCCCTCGTTTCGGCCTTTTTAGATTCACACCGAGGGAAGGTGTTGCAATATTGATGATAGGGCTGGTTCAATAAATCGATGCCTCTCAGTAAGCCCTAAGAGGCCAGTACCAACTACTATTGGCTCATTGAAGTTAGAATAAGGGGTATTTAATTTGGGCTTTATTCACAGTTTTGGAACAAGAGGAAAAACCCCATTGAACGTCCTAATGCATATGCATTTAGCTGTAGAAAAGACTTTAGGCCAGGGGTGGGCAAACTTTTTGACGCGAGGGCCACAATGGGTTCTTAAACTGGACCGGAGGGCTGGAACAAAAGCATGGATGGAGTGTTTGTGTGAACTAATATAAATTCAAAGTAAACATCATTACATAAAAGGGTACGGTCTTTTTTTTTTTTTTAGTTTTATTCATTTCAAATGGGCCAGACGGCCCGCGGGCCGTAGTTTGCCCACGGCTGCTTTAGGCCCAGTCTTAAGAATAAGACTGTCTCTGGGACATATTTGATATCCAGTAAGCATCTATGGAAAATTGAATCTAAAAGAGATAGAAGTTAGTTTTAAGGATATCCATTAAAAATAGACTGACTCTAATCAAAGTCACTGATGTTCATGTATTCATAAATTTTTAAAAATTTCTACTTTAAATACAATAGTGGCTTTTCTGAAATGCCGAGTGAACTGCATTTATAAGAAGTACGTTTTATTATTGACAAGTGAAAAGTCATTTGAGTTGGGTGTTGAAAGATGAGTAGTAATTTAACAAATGGAGAAAAGAAAGAGGAAAACAATTCCAGAGGCAAGGAAGCATGAAACAGCAATCTATGAATAATAACTACTTTGTATAGCTAGAGCAGGTGTGGAAGTGACAGAAGAATTAGGAAAGGTAGATTAGAACCATGTGTGCAACATTAAGAATTTAGAATTTTCTACTTTGAAGCATTTCGGAGCTATAGAAAGGTTTTTAAGTAGGAATATCACCATCAATGTGCCTTTTAGAAGATAATCTGAAGAATAATGATTAGAGATGGGCAAAACTGAGAGCCATATATCAGAAGGCTCTTGACTTGTAAATAATCATGTTGCCATTATTAAAATAGATTGAATCCTCATTTCATTTTGAAGTGATTTTGAAAATATAGATGACCCTTGACAACATGGGTTTGAACTGCATGGGGCAGGGCCACTTATACGTTGTTTTGTTTTTCAATAAATACCCAGTCAGCCCTCCATATCACCAGGTTGGGAATCCGCGGATGTGGAGGGATGATTACATGCATTGTTCTATGTCATTTTATTTAGATAAGGGACTTGAGCATCCATTAGTTTGGGGCAGGAGGTCCAGGATCCTGTCCCCCATGGATACTGAGGGACAACTGTGGCAAAGTTCTGGGGGAGTCAAAAGTTATATGAGGATTTTTTACTGTGTGGGTGGTTGGCATCCCTAACCCCATGTTGTTCAAGAGTCAACTGTTTCTATTTCTGCTACTATGTGGAAAGGGGTAATTAGATTTATGGGACATAACCTTGACTAAGCTATTCTCAGACTAACTGCAGAATATGATATGCTTACAATCCACCCAGTAATACCTTTTCTATAACAAATCTCTTTTTGTTACTTATTTATGCTATAATTCCAAGCATAAACGTTGATTTAGCACTATTTAAGCTAATAAACTATGAAGAACATAATTGAAATAAAGTTTACTAATCTGTAAAACCCTCATAAATTATCTTCTTAAAAGATGTTACACACAAAGGCTTCCATAGCCAAACAAAGTTGGGATATAATGTGTAACACTTTCAAGACTTCGACCATGGAGTCCTTTTTTTCATAATATATCTAGTTGAACAAGGGTTCTAAGAATAACATTTTTATTTTTTAAAATAGTATCAGTTGCTATATTTATTTAGTGTGGAATTTTAAAATTGCTTTAGGTATTTTTCAGTATTTTCCTGCTGTGCTTGTAGTGATTGGCAGTATTTGTTAATTTTGTATAGTCTAGGCTTTATTAAAGACACCTGCATATGTCTTGTTAGAAATTGGCATACCTGCATTTCTCTATTAATGTGGGTAAGTAGATATGTGGGGTTAAGCTTTGCAATTTATACCAGAAGAAGCAAGAAATGCCTCTCCAAAAGTTGTTTTAATAGTTTGAAAGCCAGCAATCAATTGAAAAGTTGCAGCTCTAAGGAGCTCCAAAGGAAAGTAAAGAGATATTCTAAGTGTGGACTTGGACTTACTTGACTCTAGCAAAGGGTCCCTCCATCCTCCTATATAATAAAAGGCCAATATGCAAATTGTCCCTATGGGCGAGAGTTCAACCGACCGGGAGTTAGACATGCGCTGACCACCAGGGGGCGGCACAGAACATGACGGGCATCAACAACACAGCGCTGACAGCGGGTGTCAGTGGTGGCGCTGCCGGCCCCGATGGGCCCAGACAAGAGCAGGACTGCAGCGGGATGGTGGAGCAGATGAGCGGGCAGTGCCAGGCCAGGCGGGTGAAAAGGGAGGCCCTGGCTGGCTGCGGCAGCAGGTAGCCAGGGGAAGGGAGGCCCTGGCCAGCAGCCGCTAGGGACCCTACCCATGTATGAATTTCATGCACTGGGCCTCTAGTCTATATATATAAAAGCCTAAGCAACTGCTTGACCACTTGACTGGTAGCTATAACGCACACTGACCACCAGGGGGCAGATGCTCAATGCAGAAGCTGCCCCCTGGTGGTCAGTGCGCTCCCACAGCGGGAACACCGCTCAGCTCACCAATGGGTGCCAGACGCCGGGCTCATGGCTGGCAAGCGCAGCTGTGGTGGCGCGAGCCTCTTCTGCGGACACTCCCCCTGCGCGCCCCTCCCCCATCTGGACTGAGATTAGGACCAGCATCGGGACTGACTGGGCGTGAACCTGCAGCCGCTTCTTGGTCATGGGTGCGCCGGTATTGCCCTAGGACGGGTACGTGGAGATTGCAGTGGAGCAGCAACAAGCCTACCAAGCAGTGGTGGCGGTAGGCACAACGGGGCCAGGATGAGCGGGAGTGGCACGGCAGTCGGCCTGGGCTCCTCCCGCCTGTGGCTTTGAGCACTACTACATCCCTCAGGGGATGTTGGACTGCTGATTTCGGCTGATCCCCGCAGGGCAGGCCGAGGGACCCCACCAATGAACAAACCCATGCACCGAGCCTCTAGTTTTCTTATATTAATGCATGGTGTTTAAGTCTGTTGGTCATATTCAGGTGACTTGACATAATGAGAATTAGATTCAGAGAATGAGGATTTTCTCAGACTATAGAGGCATTCTTACTGTTAGTGGTAC